AGAACATTGAGCTGTAAGGCAATTTCTGGGAAGAAAAAGGAGGTGGGGGGGAAGAAAAAGATTTAAATGTTTGTAAGAGATTATATAATATAATTATCCCCATATTAGGGAAGGTTCAGTGCCAGAAAGAAGCCTGCAGGAATTCAGACTAAAAGTCAGCAAAATCACTTCAAAAGGAAATCAGATAAAAACACAGTTAAAGGGCATTTGCATTTTTAACCTGCTAACTCAAATCCAGAGAGAAAACAGAAACTGCACTGCTTGGAAAAACTTAGCTTACCAGGCTGCCTTCTATCTGTGCTAGATCTACATTTCCAAGCCTAAAGCCAATGTTCACAGCTAAGATTTCCCACACTAGGTGTACAAAACATTATGAAATGTTTCTGCTGTACCTATAAAAGTACTAACATTTACATCTCTTTAATGTGCATCCATATTGTTCTCCCTACATGTAATTAATGTAAACTAATCACTTCTGTTTCACTATGTGTTAATCTGCCCCTTTCTATGCAGGCAAAGGTATCTGGCCAGTTATCATGAACCTACACACATTTTGGGGGGGTCGAAGGGAGGATACCCATCTGATTACTGAATTCTCCCACAGCTGGGAACACAACTGGTTTATTCATGAAAGGACTTGAAGGGAAATCTCAATGAGAAGTGGTGACAGCAGGGGGAGAAAGGGAATCATGCCAACAAGAAATTTCCTCTAGCATGGCTTATCTTGGCATAGAAACATAGCAAAAAGGTAAGGATGCACAGATCTCTCTGCACTGTGTCTTCTCTCTACATAAATATGCTAGGAAAAAAAGAGAGAACAGCGCAATAAATACAGTCTCACTGCTCCAGTATTTAAGAAGTGACAAACTGATGGTGTCTCCAAAGGCCATAGACAATGATATGGGTGCTACTAACTTCCCAGCAACTTGCAGAAAAAAACAATCTTGATGAAAGTGCTCCAGATTAACAGAGAAGTCACAGTGTCTCCTAGAGGATCTAAATTGCTTGCTCAGCACTAGTCAGACAAGCTGCATCGTTACAGAGTTACTAATAATTTACAACTCCTCCACAGCTTATCATAAACATCCAGGAAATGTTCTTTGCACTTTGAAGCTGAAGACACAAGAATGTTACATAAAGGGAGAGAAAAAAAAAAGTGAAAAGGAAGCAGTGAGTTCCTGCTTCAGCAGGCTCTGCTTGTATGAAAACAAGCTTTGCATTCTGCAAAGGGTTGGTTTGACTATGAACTAAATCTGTGGAGTGGGTTTACCACTAAGAGGAAGTTTTTTTCAGTCTGTAAGACAAATATTTAATGATATCCCATGGCTGAAGCTGAAGTAAGACAGATTCAAAGAAGAAATATTCAGTAATGAAGAGAACTGATCACTGGGCTATCAGTTTAAGGGATGTAGTGATTTTCCAGTATTTGTGGGAAGATGGTGCCTTGAACAAGTACTCAGCCTTGCTCAAACAATTAGTACTAGGAAGTCTCACACCCCAAAGTGGTAGTGGGAGCTAGACAAGATAACCACAATTGTTCCTGTTGAAAGCTGCAGTGTTCAGAAGATCAGCTGTTTTAACAGAACACAGAGCTGACACACTTAACTCCACCTTACACTCTGACAGACAAATGATTTCCCAACACTTTGCATTCAGCATGCATTGTGAAAAGGCAGACATCACTCTCGCCAACCCCCATCCTTCAAGTGCTGCTTATATACATCTTGACCCTCATCACTCCTCTGTGAAATGACTCAAATATTTAGATTTGACAATCACAGCATGATCCACACACAGAGCTGGAGAAGCTTTATCATAAATAATCACACACACAGTATGGTAATTTTGAAGGTTGTTCCCCCCATGCTCCAGTGTAGATCCTTGCCAGCATTCATGGAAGATACACATTCTGAAGTCATACTGTGATGCAATTTTGTGTTTCTACTTACCAGTGTAGTTTACAGAATAGCTGTTTGGGTCCAAGAATTTCTTTACCAGTTCACAGTTAGACAGTATGTGATGGGTAGTAATTACATCCAGATAGGCCTGGAGTCCCTTCTGTCTTTCAGCTATGAATTCCCGTTCCATATTTCCAATCAATTTTTTGGGAGGAAGAGGTAGACTTAGAGTTGAGATCTTGAAAAGAGAGGAAAAATTACTAACCTTGCTCTCAAAATGCCTCAGGGATATACATTAGAAACACAGAAAGTGAAAGGCTCCCAGCAGCAAGCTAACTGCTGGATAACTCATTTTGTACTGTGTATATACAAGCTTTTCTATTTTCCCCAAGTACTGTTATCAGAGTGAGCCAGTCAGATGACAGCTCACATCCCACTGTGAAGAGATTAGTAAGTGCAACGACACTGAAAACACAAGGAGACAAAGTTTTGCTAGCCAGTGACACATTTAAGATCACTAGGCAAAACTTTCAGATAGTAAATGGCTACAATTTTCAGCCAGGCCCTTTCTATGCCATACCTCTGCCAGCACAGAAACAATTCACACCTTACCCCTTTCTCTGCATAATTTATGCTTTCTTATTTCATGAAGTGCAGGTTCATAATTTTCCCTTACCTCTATGCCTTTGTCAGTAATTTAAAGCCCTTTCTGTCAGTATTTTATATCTGTAATTTCAAATATGGTGCAACACTTCCATTTCCTTTCTGAATTTGTTACTGCACATTTTTTAAAAATCTATATGTCTTTCAACTCAGAAATAGCTGCAATCTATCAGTGGATGTACGGTAGTTGTTTTATGTTGACATAAGTGATCCAAAACTTAAGAAAAAAATAAAATCAGAGAAATGCTTAGAAATAGGACAATGAAAAAATGTACAGAAATTCAAAGCCTTATGTAAGTCAGATCAAAGAGATCATCTTTAGTGTTTACATTCAATTACGTCATTCAAATTGCCAGAATACATTTTTCATGTTGTTAACACATCGTTGTCCTGCAGATCAAAGCACCTGCCCTGGGTAAGCCAAATCTCCATGGGAGATATCTTTAAGAATTGTGTGTTGCAGGAATCAATTACACCAGATGCAATAACCTCATTTCTAAAGCAAACAGTTCACTGGGGAGAGTTTCGGTGTTTGAGCAACTTTCATTTTAACTAGTGGAAAAGGTAAAGGATTAGTCCAATCAAGTGGGGCAGAAGCAGCATTCCCTTTACCTTTTACTCCTTCATGGGAACACAGGAGTTATCCCCTGCTAACTTTAGCACTTCTCCTATTTGCCTGATTTCTGACTGCAAATTAGGGGCTGAAAAAGAACTGTACTGTGTCTGAACTACAAAAGATGTCAATAAATATCATCCTATCCACTAAGCAGTTTTTAATGCTCTTTTACACCCAAGGGGAAAAAAAATATCCAGGAATAAACCCAATAGCAACCATATACCACTTACAGCCACTAACTCACCGAATTGGTTTTAGCACCAGAGGGAAACAGAACTCTCCTCTGGCAGACCACTCTTACTTCCATTCAAAACCAAGTTTCTAAACAAAACCTCAATCCTTTTCTGGTATTACTCACTTAAAAAGCATGTCAGATCATAATCACCTTTACCTTCTTGACCTGACAGCTAGCTACCATCAGAGAGAAACTGACTCTAATTCAGACATATCCAAACCACTATTATTTGTTTTAGAACCTATAAATCAGACATCTGCTATTTTTCAGCATAAAGCAAGTCGGGCCCAGGTTTTTGTAGTAATCTGCCAAAACACACAGCACAGTGAGAACACTGTCTACCACAGAAGAACACCTCACTGAGGTCCTGACCTTGCAAAGACCCCACATTCTTTCAAACACAAGGGGTCCTCCAGCTCACCACTGGAGCCAGGATGGGCTTCACCACGGAACAACCTGGGAATTAACATTCTTATCTTCAAACCACAGTCTGCTCAGGAATGTCTGTTCAAAGGCTGCAATAAAATGCTTCACAAAAGCCAGATATCTTGCTGTGAATTCCAGTACTTCCAGTACCAGTACTGCACTTGACAAAACAGAAGAGCAGCCAATGATCTCCACACATCTCTGTCAAATAAGCAAAGAGAAGAAACGCAGAAGGGACTGGAAGAAGCTTTTCAATCCAGCACAGTTGAGAATTCAAGGAATCTGTCTTGTCATTTTCTGATACAGATCAGGGTCACAGGTATACACCTCTCATTTTCCAAGGTATTTGGCAGGACTGCATTCCCTAGCCTAGACAGGTTGACATTCTCTATCCTTACTATTACTATATAGGTAGCACCAGATTAACAGCAGAAAATTTGCATTCCAGCTCAGCTGCAGCTGTGTTCGAACACAACCACCCAAACCAACAGAGAGGTCAAGGATGTCACAAGAACCTGAAGAACTTGGGGCTTTACATCCAAAAGAACCTCCAGCAGTTTTTCTAGCAGCATTTTAGTTTTGAAGGAAGAAGATCAGGATTTGGTATTGGTCCTTGATTTATACTGTTTGGAGGGGAGATGGGGGGATTTGTTTGGAGCTTTCCTTGTTTGTTTACTCTCACTTCAATATACACAAGACCAGAGTTTAAAAACAAGTCACGGGACCTGAATGTTGTGGTGGAATATTGTTGCTTATTGCTGCTTTCTGGGTGGAAAGAACTGAGGAGTATTGCGTTGTCTTAATGGTTGAGAAAACTTCAGCTCCAGCATCACAAAGAGCAATTTATAAAAGCTCCAAAACAGTGGGAGAAATGAGCAATTTCTCACCAGTGCTTCTCACCAGCTACTGCTGGCTGTCTCTCCAGCCCTAGCATGCAGAGCTAGGCTGGAGAAGCAGTGGAGTTTGTCAAAAGCAGAGTTGTGCATCTTTGATAAAGGCTTAAAACTCTCTTCCCGCCCATCTGCTGAGCACATAATGAAGAATTACACCTCTTAGTATTTTCTGGTTCATACAGAGAGCCACCCATGCAGAGATGCAGAGATACATCTTTGCCTTTCCAGACTGCGGAAAGCACACACAGGAGTTTAACATCAAGGGATGAGCAGTAGTTTTCATTGAAGGAGTGAGTACTAAAGAGCAAGGCCTGCTAATTCAGCCACACTCTCATATCCTCTCATCCAAGTTAGAGGTATGTTTTGATAATTCTGTTTGATGCCTTCCAGTCATCCAAGAAGCTGATATTTTTGTCCCAGATCTTGGTCTTCCTCTTGTTTCAAATTCCCCATTGTCCCACTCTGCGAGTTGCTGTCAGATAATTTCCTGAACCCTCCACTTTCATCACCTCTCAGACAGAAAAGGCCTTTGTATCTGAACTCCATCATACATAACCTATTTACCTTCACTTTCCAGACCTTCCACCTAGGCCTAACCTTGCATTACCTGTCATTTCTGAATGTTAAGTCTTGAAGGTCCATTGCCTTCTCCAGTAAAGCTGCCTCATTTGAAAGGTAAATGAGAAGGCAACAAAGTTTTTCATGCCTTAACATATCCTATTCCCCATGGTTAAGAGGAGCTTGTTATATAGGTGGCTGCAAAAGTGAACTCTTTCTTCTTTATAAAACTTCCTCAAAATTCTCCCTCTGTGATCTCTATCAAAACTTGACTATGGTTATGACCACAATGACCCCTAGGTACTGTGATGACTACTACCATCTCATCTCCTTGTGTTCCCATGGGTGTTTATCTAATTTTAAATCTTGGATGTCTCTGGAGCAGAAGACATCTCTGTATTGCATTTATTCAGCACATGACAGAGGAGGTTTCTAGGTCAGGATAAAAGTTCCTATGTGGTAGTGCACATTCAACAGAATAATTCCTCAAGGCAATCATATTGCATTTGCTGCATTATGACTGATTTGTCCCCCCATCCACCTTCAGCACAGAAATCACAGCAGACTATCAGTGCACTATTTCAACACCCTTACAGGGTTTTGCTCACTGAGGTTCATCAAGGAGATAGTTAATTTGATCGGGGAGAGAGGGGATGTGGAAGTAGCACCAAGCTCTGGAATCCATGCAACATTTAACAAAGTGAAAAATTTCAAAGCCACAAAAATCTATGCTCAAATCCTATCATTCACTTTTGATCCTATTTGCCCTGTACTATGGAAATCTGTGCAACGAGTTTCACTCCTATAGATGCAAATCACTGCTGCTTCCCCCTGCTCCCAAACACACTCCTGTACCCTGCTTTTTCCCACACAAACTAAAAAGAAATAATTGTCCTAAAAAGCAGAAGAAAACACACAGTAAGTCCAGTGTTTAACCAAGGAACACTCCTCAGCGATACAGAAAACCATCACATGATAAGCAGCATCTGGTAGTGCTTTTAGACAAATATAAATAATGAGACACATAGCACTTCAATGCTGAATTTAAAAGGTTGGTATGTGCCTTGGCTTTCCCCGAATCAAAGGAGGAACAAATGATAACACATAAACCGGAACAAGTCACAGCACTGAAGGGACAGATTCAGCATCTGCCAATTTCCTCTATTTATATATAAATTGATCCTTTTGACACTAAAATTCAGTTTCACAAGAGGAAACATAAGAGATAAAAAAAATACACATGTGAGTTATATTTGAAGTCCCACTTTCTCTTTACAGCTATGTGAAATTGTGTTTCTTCTTCACTGCACTATATAAAAATATCACAAGCCATTTTAAATATATCCTTCTGATGAGTTTATATTTATACATCAAGGGTGAAAGTTACCTGCAAGCTGTTATTGAGCAAGTCAAAGTCACTGTATCGTCTCACAATCTGCAAAATAAAAGACAAAGTTCAGAAAACAAATGACTTTTTCGATTAGCATTTTACTCCTCAAAATCCTATCAGAGAAAAGCAATTCCCATTTAAAATCATCATCATCTTTTAACAATTTTTGTACAGATGCAGAACTGCTGAATTTATGTCACACTGCCAGAGAGCAAGGAAGAGTTTTTAATCACATCTAGGCCAGAAAGAAAATGCATTTCTGAGCATCTTAACAGCATTATCTTAAAAAAGCTTAAAATCATATTTGTGAGGAAAGTTCTCTGCAAACAAAGCATTTTTGCCATATTAGATGCAACAACTTTTCATAGCCATTTTCATTACTACCTCTTGGTTTCATTGGCCTTGTATCATCAAGGCTGTGATTTTAGCACTAAGGAAGGCAAAGTGGCATGTGGGATTTTAAAATTATGGTACCAACACACAGTAGTGACACGTGACAGGCAGTTTTCCCTGGAATATTCAGAACAACATGCCTTCAGTAGCTGGCAGCAATGCTACTTTTCTCTTACTTTTTGACCAAAAGTATTCAAGTACTTCAAGTTCTCAATGCCAAATCAACATTTCTCTTTCCAGCTCAAATTTTAAAAGCTAGGAAAAGACAGTTTTCAAACCCTTCCTAAAAAGGCATCCTGGTTACACAACCCACAGCTTAAGAAATTACCTGCCAACTGTTTTCTGCTGAAACTCCTCTCTGAACACGGATTATGTATTCCTAATAAAAGGAAAAAGTTGTTAGAAATGAGAACTAAGGAGCTGAAGAAAGTTATTAGGTACTTCTCCAAATATGACCATTAACATTCAGAAACAAAACTTCAGACCCAGCACCCAGGGGAAGGTTTGCTCAGACCCACCCCTAGCAGTTGTCTCTCTGCTTCCCAGCACAGAAGACAAGGAGAGGTCCAGGAGCTTTCACACCTGTGTAGCACTTTAACCATTTAATTTAGTTACTGAAAAAGACAGTAAAAGCAGACTCAGCACACATCTGTCCCAACATCTCCTCACCCACCTCCAATACCTGACACATAACCCCAGGAATTACTGACAACACCATAACACAGTAAAATGCCAATAAATACCCACAGCTGCCCAACCTCTAATTATTTTTGTACTAGAAAGGTTACCACAAAAGCTTTGGAATGTGCTTGAGTAACTAGAACATATCAGTTTCTCACGATGGTAATTCTTCATTTATAATGCATGCTTAATGTTAAATATTTATATAAAACTATGCAGATATATCTAAACCTCAGTGAGCCACTTTTGAATTTTAAGCAGTAATAACTCTCCCACCACAATTACATTCATAAAGCACAATTCTTCTCAGTCTCTTCATTTCAAGCTCCATTGTACCTTTTGTAGACTAATACCTGGGCACAAATACCTGGTCAATAGAGCAATATCACTGAGATTTATCCAATTATCTCAAAGATAGATATAAAATATTTCTCATGCCTACTCAGACAAACTTTAAGGAAGCCATGACTTTGTTCACCCCTACTGTGTTTCAATTTGAAAACAGCAAAACAGCTCTAAAACCACTTTTGACATTTCAACAATCATAAACAAGGCAAGTCCTTTTCCTAGAAATCCTATAATCTCCACTTTAGATATTGTTTAATTAGTATGGAAATAAAATTAATCTGGGCTAAGTGTAGTAACAGATACTTCTTTGCCATTTGCAAAGCTCTATAAATGCAGCTCTTTTGAAAGTCTTATTACTCAGATAATCCCATGGCCACACAATTTACATCAAAAAACATGAAAATGGAGAGCCAAAAAGTAAGGTGCTGCCTGAGAAAATACAACTTTCAACACTGAGGAGAGTTGGAGAGTACCCAGAGTCCAGCGAGGGGGAAAGGCCATAATGGAACTTGAGTTTTTAAACTTCACTTCTAATTGTATCAGTGTGACACTGTGTGAGAGGACAATGCCCCCAGTGCCTTTCAACACATTCATCTTCCCTGGCTGGGGTGGCAGGACCCTCAGAGGGCCAAGGATGCCCCCAAGGCTCCCCAGGGAACATGCTGAGTCACACTACACAACCCAAAGTAAGAACGAGAAATTCTAAGCCAAACACAAATCCAAAGCACAGCTCAGAGCATTCCCAGGCTGGAACATGCAAAACGCTCTCTGCACTCGTGCCCACCCTGTCCCTGCCTGCAGTGCAGCAGCACATGATGCATCAGTTGTCATCCAGCTCAGATGACTTCATCACCCTGCTACAAACTTTCAAAAGTGTTTTATGGAAAGTGCTGAACGATTTTTTTATTCCAAATGCCACCTAATCTTGCCAAGCTGCTCACATCAACAGGAGTCTTACACAAACAAAAAAGGTCTGATCAGTGTTATGCACGATTTTTTTTTCAGATGTTGAAATTAATGCTGCATTCCAAATCATCCTGAATAAACAATAATGAAACAGCAACAAATAAACAAAGGCATTTCCAGCACCTTGTGTTTAATACCAAATTTGCCCATTCTGTAACAATAAGTCTGTATGACATGTACCTGAATACCAACTAGATAATTCAATTAACTGAGTGTTTGATACATGAAGTATTATGAATTGGGTTCACAGTCAAAAATCCACTAAAGACATTAATTAGCAATTCTTTCAGGTACTGTGAAGTATATTCTGGTTTTGGAAGTTGCCTTCCAAACCCCACAGAACTAATACTCCTCTTTCAAACGAAATGAAATTAAAAGCTGTTACACTGAAAAACATATAATTGGATTAAAAAAACCAAACAACATGGGGCACATCAGAGATTCCCTCCACAGAATTAAATTCTCACTCAATACCTACCGACATGAAAAGTAAGTAGTATAGACCAAGAATTATGACTATTCCAGACAAAAGGCAAAGGCAACACCTATCAGTTGGCATTACCTTGTGTGTTCAACCTTAACTAATCCAGAATTCATTTACTGATATTTTTCCAAAGCACAGTGCTGCTGAAGTGAAAATCCCCTTTCACTGTCCAAAACTCACTTCAAATATCCTTTACAATCAAAGCTGTCAAGTATCTGTAGCAAGTTTGAATCATTCAGCCTTTAGAAGAAACTCAGTACTAGTCAGCATGAAAACCAAAGTGATTTAAAACACTTCCTGTCCTACCAGCTTAGTTGGTAGTGACAGAAATCCAAGATGTCACAAACCAAAACACGTAACTGTTACACTAGAACTAAAGTGGCTGTTTTCAAAAAGTCAGCCTGACATGCTCCCTCCATAGTCTCTTCTCTTACCCATTTGAAATCCTAATTACAGGATCTTCCTGCAAAACAAGAAGCCCAAATCCTTGTAAGTAGCAATAAAAATCTACAGAGCCAATTGCAATTCAACCAGTGTAGTTATGTTTGGAAACTGTGAGAGAAACCAATTAAAGGGACACCTGGAAACCAATATTCACCACTAACGTGGCTTTTCCTGTTTTGTGATCATTTCTGTATTTTGAGAAATAGGAAGAAGCTACTTCACACACGGACAAAAAATTGCAGCAACTGCTTATTCATCAAGTCTCAAAGGAACGTTGGCTGTTTCTCTGAACAGCCACGTCAGTGATGATTCACCACGTGCAGTCATTCATCTCTTCTAGGATTTTGAAAGATTTGAGTTTTTGCTCAATCCCTTGGAGCACTTACTCTTTATCCAGTGATTAATGTTTTCTATTGTACCCCAAGAAAATGCTCCTGGGCAGGCAGAACACAAATTCATTAGACAACCATCAAAGCATCTTATTGCATACAACCACTCTGATCAATACAGCAGTCAGCTCTTCTGGAGAGCCTAGTGATAACAACCCAGGGCTCAGAGCTCGTTCTCAAAGCAAGATTGTATTTAAAAAGAACCAGATTTGGGCCACAACTATTTTTCTCCACACACACAAACATTTTCCCATCCAGTACTGCTTTGGTGCCCTCAAGCACTAACCAAGCCCCTTCCTAATGTCACAAGGTTCACAAGCAAAAAGAGCAGAGCAACACATTGCAGACGTGGTTGTTAGCTCTGTCCGTCTGAAAAAGGGAAGTGCCCACCACATTCTGTCCATCAGCACTGACTGTAACAAAGAATTGGCCACCTCAGCACTACCATGTCAACACAGCTAATGAAAAAGCCTAAATGGCCTTCTTGCTTGTTGTTGGTTTGGCGCTTTTTTCGCCCCCCTCAAGTTGATAATGAGATTGAAAGTCAAAGAATAGCTAGAGCAGAAAAGCCAGGATAAGAAATACAATCCTATTCCTATCTGCCATGGCTACACATAATCAGCAGGACACAGTATGCTGAGTTTTAGTGAGAAGTTGATACTTCCTATTGCCTTCGCTTGTCGTGGGATTATAATTAGCGCGGCTGATATATGCTTCCCATAGGACTAGAGAAGAGCTTTCAGCTCTTCAAGGAAAAAGCCTAAATGCACAAAAGCCTTTATTACTCTGCCAAATTCTGTTTCGGTTAGGAAAAAAAAACCCCTGAATTACAACAATCTTCTTCTGAGGGAGCCTGATAGTGGGACTGAGACTGTGCCCATAGGAAATAACAAAAGCGTAAGGAAAACAGAGAGACACGCTCGGGATCGTTTCTGTTTAGCTGCACCACCTAACACAGGAAAACAGGGTGGAAATGCCTTCAGAAAAGGGTAGTAATTACCAGAGTTCAGTCCTGCTGACAATTTTAGGGATCAACAACCAGGCTCAGTGGTTAGGCTAGGCTAGTAACGCTCATGCAGAAATTCCCATGGCATCTTTCACTCCTACATGAATAGCACAGAATCTTTCCTATGACTCAGTTTACCAAATAACTTCAAAGGAGCCCTAACAGCTGCTGGTTGGCAAAGAAAGGTCTCAGCCTGCAGAGCATCCCACTGACTGCCATCAGCTACACAGGAGCCTCCAATAAGACAGGCCACAAAACCATTCCCAAGACAACTTCCCTGGGTCCCTCCAGACTCCCACACAGGTAAGGTTTGTACACCCACTGCTCCTCCTATCCCTACTGCCAAGCCAGATCCTGACACAGCCTCCATAGTCCAGCAGCAGTTCAAAATACAGTTTTAAAGATGCCAAGGAAAGCAGTTTTACCTATGGAATCATTTCCTGGCTGCTCCAATTAGTCATAAAAAAAGCGGAAACCGGTGCTGGGAGGAGGAGGTTGGGAGCAGGGAAAGCTCTGTGACCCCAGTTGCACACTGTCATTTCCTAAAATCTTCTTCCTATCACTACAGAGTTCTGGACAGAGTTTCTGAAAAAGAGTATTCTCCAAACATCCCCATGGATCAGTGACAACCACACTGCATTTCTCCAGTCCTTTGCCAGTAACAGTTTCACAATCACTGTGTAGGATTAATGTTATCCTAAACTTACCCGTTTTCATGCAGAGCCAACATTTAGGTGGTTTTTTTCCTTTTAAATCACAAAGATTAGTCAGTGGTATTCCAGCACTTAGTAAAACATTAGCATCAGCAGCTCAGAGCTGCTCAGCAAAATTTTAACATTCCTAGATGAAGGTTACACAGCAAAGCACATCCAAATGCTTAACAATTGCTGTTTAACATCTTTCCTAGTTTTTGAAACAGGAAGCCAACAGGAACAAAATGCTTTTGGAGAGATAAAATAGGAAAGAACAAGTGGTGAATTTAGAGATCCATATAATAAAACAGAGTCTTGCCAATATTGGGCAATACATTCTGTTCTTCCCAAGAAAATAGTCTC